TCGTCAGCAACTTCTTCTTCTTCTCCCCGCTTATCATCGGTAGCCTGTAGAGTCCTGAGATTCGCATGTGGCAAGTCAGAATCTTCCTCACTAAAGACTTATTTATTTGGCTCCCCAATGGCTGCAGTTTGATGTTCAGAAGTCTGATTCACCTCACTGGCTGAACTTACAAACGACCCTTTCGCTGAAGAAGGCCTGTAAGTGAGATTTCCTTCACTGTTTAGTAAGGTGACAAAATCTTCTACAGGTACGGGAGCTTGTTTGGAAGTTCCAGCAGTGTCCCGGGGATTGAGAGATTGTTATTAGGATTATTGAAAAACTAATTCAAGGAATAATCTTAGATGGTCAAAATTATTACCTTGGGTGGAACTTCAGCACCAGGGCTTGAATTGTCGCTCTCGCTTGGATCATTCATTCTAGCAACTATTTCTTGTTCAGTTGGCTCTTGAATGATGATAGGAGTAGGTTTAGGCCTGGTGGCCATAACCTTAATCTTGGTTTTCGGGCGAGGTTCAGAAATGGGATTTGGCTTCTTTTGTCTCTTGAGAGGGATAAGAGGTATGTCTTCATCATCTTTAGAGAGTGTGACTTCCCGGACTTTCCTCTTTGTTGGTGTAGATTTCTTGGTGGCCTAAAAAGAAAAGAGTAGAAACGTCAACATTGGTGTTGTGTTAAAGGAAATTGAGGGCGAAAAGTATTTACCTGGGGTGGAGGTTTTGCATAAGGGTCTCCTCCCTTTGCGCTTTCAGCAACTTTCGTGACAATGGTTCTCTTGACGGCTAGAAAATAAGCAAACATGAGCCAGATATCAAATGATTAAATCAAAGAAAAATAAGGCATTTGCTCTAAAGAAGAAAAAGTAACTTTCTTGATCTTGTGAGAGACCAATATAAACGCCTCTTGAAGATGGTTAGCAAAGTCTTTTGCATCGAAGAACTCTTCGTCGTAGTATTGCTTCCACCAGCCTTCAAAGATGGGCGAACACAAAAAGTTGAGTTTAAAGTCGAACAAGGTTAGTACGGTTTGACCAACGTACCTACCAATTTTCTAGGTAGCAGCCTCCTCCGAATAGTCTGCATTATAATACAGCAAAGACTTTTCTCGGGTATAGATTGGGTTTGAGAGTGATTGAATTATGCCAAACTGGCGAGAAACGAGGTTCGATTGATAAGCAATCAAGCTCAGTTGATTCTTAGAACTTTTGAATCTCAGTGGCATAATTCTTGGGCGAAGAAAAGACTCCCAAATAGCCACATACTCTTCGACACAATCCTCATCCTCAGTCGAGGGATATGGTCGAGTAAACCATACCGGACCAGCCTTTCGATTGGCAAAGGGAGCCATGGTCGAAACGAATTCCTTTCACTTTACAAACATCATTATAAAGTGGGTAAATGCTTTCTGAAATTGTTGACCTTCATCTGTTGGAGTCAACAGAGCCAACCTGGTGCCTTCGACCCTTCTGTTAAGGATCTCTGGGGCTTTCTCATTGATTTTATTCTTCTGGGGAATAAATGATTTGAACGTGGCATTGAGCCAAAGTTGGAGAAGCTAGAAAGGGCCAAAAAGGAGTAAACTGGATCTATCACCTATAACTTTAAGTTGAGTTACACCATTATTGATGGGCTCATAAAGGTTGGCCAAAATCAATTCATCTAGACAAATATTGTAGCCATGATGAAGATGAGTAGCAAGAGTGAGCATTTTCTTCGTCACTTGGAGTGATTTGGTATAGAAGACAAAACGAGACAACCACAAAGCTAAAAAAGCTATGTGTTCCACTTCAGAAACATTATTGCTGGATTTGTCATGAAAGTGGTTGATGAAAGTAGTATATATGGTTTTTGTAGCCGAAAAGCCAATGGTATCTTCAGAAATATCCTCCAAATCGAAGTAGTCACCAGTTGGTCGAAGACCAGTGATGGCTGCTATGTCGAAGAGAGTAGGGGTCACCATTCCACAAGGTAAATGGAAGGTGAAATGTGCGTTATCCCAAAAGTACAAAGAGGATACCAGCATGAGGGGATAATAAGATAAACCAGTCTTCGATAGCATGACCAGATCATAAATCCCCATGTCTTTCGAAATTTGGGTTTGCACTGTTTCTATCTTATTCAACCATTCTGAATATTCCGAAGTCAGGCTAGGGCAAGACCTAAAGATTCAGTTCCCTTTATTCATAAACTGGAGGTTTATGTCTTCTTTCGTCTGAGAAGGTTGTTGATTATCAGAAGTTGCATCCTCAGGTTCATCTCTGGGATTCTTTGCGTAACCTATAGGCTTGAGGCTAGGGTGAGTTGGGAAGAAATCGTTGTTCTGCTTAGGGTTTTCGATACATGCAGACAACAGACCATACATGGCATACATTTGCCCAGAATATCTAACAAGAATGAGTACCTGTGAGTTGTAGACATCACGCCATTCTTTAGTCATGGGTTCCGGAACGAACCTTCGTTCCCCAGTCGAGGTAGGGATAAAGCTAGTTGCTAAAACTTCTGGTTGTTGTTGTGAATCAGAGGCATCTTTGGTTTTGGGGTTGTTTGGAGCGTTTGAGAGGAAATCCATGGCTATGTTGGTAGAAGAACGATGAAAGAGATGAGGTTCTCAAAGGTTTCTTTTGAATACAGGGAAACAAGGAATTTCAGGCGTTTGTAAAAATTCCAAAGAGAAGTACACGTAGCTATTTATAGTGTCCAGGGAAGAGTGTTTTCCCTCAAAACCATTTAATGCTGCAGAGTGAGTGGGACACGTGGTAAGCTTTAAGGCAGTTATACGGACAGGTAATGGAGACATTTGCCATGCTTTCCTAGGTTATAGGGATAATGGCCATCATGGCAGCATGTAACGGCTGACTGATAGTGACGTCTTGGAAAAGTGTAATGATGACTCTGATATCAGTAGTGGTTGGTGGAAGATAAAAAGTGTACGATAAGCTTTTTTGGTCAAAAAGCTTACATGTGTCGAATAGATACATCAAAGAATGACTATTTCTTCTTGTGTCGAAATTGACATTCTTGGGGGGAAATTTGTTAGCTCCTAAATTCGACACCCACAACATATTGGTCTTATTGGACAAAAAATAGATTGAAAAAATCTAAGTTGGAGACATTTCGACAGAAGAGCCTATTGAAGTTGGTCATGTCGAAACCTTTCTAAGAGGAGAAGGAACACTTAGATAATTTTCTAAGTTGGAAATAGTCTTCGACCAAAAAGCCTTTATACTTCGACCAGAAAGCTTCGTATCAGCAACAAGTAATTTTGAATCTGAAGAAAGGAGGGAAAGGCAGTTCACTTGGCAGTTGAGGAAAGCAACGTGACATGAAGATAGAAGTCGAAGCACATGCAGAGGACACCTGTCCTCATCCTGGAACGAGGCAACTGTTTGACGGTTACTTAGTTTTAGTATAAATATATGGATTTTATGTAGATTCCCGTGTGTTCAACATATGGTACAAGTCACTCAATCTTATCCAAGTACCTGCTGTGAGAGAAAAGATATTGAGAATGTACGTTTGAAACACCATCTTTTATTTCAATCAAAGTCTTTACAATTCCTTTACATTCCTTCGTAAACTTTATCATTACTGCAAATTTACTTTATTCTGCCCTTTACTTGCACTTTTTATCATTTTTCAACCTTTATCCTTAAACTCTTCTCAACCCTTTCTACTTACCTTTTACTTGCACTTTTATCAAGTTTTCACCTGCATCTTGCCTTTACTCTTAATTTGCCTTTTAACCCTTTTCGCTTAAACTTACTTACTTATAAATAACTTAGCATATGTCCTAGGATCAACCTGATCGATCCTACAAGTCACCAAAATAACCCTTTTTAGAAGATCAACGTTTGTTTACTAATTTTCACGATAAACAGAAACGTAGAGATATGAATGTCATATTTGATGATTATGTTAATCATCTGGTGCCAGATGAGACATAGATCACCATAGTTGAGAACAATTGGAGCTACGTTGACTGTTGCATCTGGTAGTTCTTCCGGGTGTCACATCCTTATATGATACATGATGCTCCAGAAGATCCATCAAAGCCAGTCATCAAATGATACTAGAAGAGGAGCGGTCTAGGACAAATCATGTTGTTGATTTGTTGCATAGGTGTCATCGTATCATGCAGATTATGCATGCAATTATTGATGGAGGACTATTTCCCGATGGCTTTGAGGCGATGAACGTTGTAGATGCCATGACGACGGAGGCTCGGGAGGCTCTACAATACAGGAGACAACATAGGAATATAGGGGCACGAGGCCGAGACCGACTCCAAATCTGTTATATGCAGTAGATTATAGTACTTGTACTCTTGATATATTTTGGGTTGTATTTAATTTATCGACTCTGTTGTAACTTTTGGATAAGATTTTTATACTCTTGACTTATAACTTTATATATGTCGTTTTCTTTATAACCATTTGATTTGAAAATCACTTAAAAATGATTAAAATTTATTGTCTTGATGAAATACAGATATATCTCCAAATTTTTTACGTAGATATATCTCCAAAACTATCCAATATTATCAAATAAAGAAATTTTCGAAGATCCATGTTTAAACAAACTAATATTTAAAATTAAAAAAAAACTCGAGAGATATCATATTATAATTCATTTTTCATATATCATCATAGGAATAATTCAATACAATTTCTTTCATTTATTTCTTTTTCTCTCATCCAAAACGTCTCACGCACTAGACGTGTGTCCGTGTCATTCGAGAAAACACACAACAAGTGAGTGACATGTGCGGCTGAGATTTGACATGAAAAAAGAATAAAATAAGATGCAAATTGAAGAAGAAGAAAACGGCGGTGAGGACAGAACCAAAACTGCGTGGTTATCTATCTTATCCGAAACGCAACAACACCGAATACAAATACAAAAAAAAAAAAAAACCTTTTGCTCCAACGGAAAGAACAAAAACAAATACCGAATCACAAAACATTCTAATCAATAATCATCATTAATCATTACTACTACTCAGCGATGCAACCTACTTCCGGCGGCGGTAGCGGCGGTTTGAAGCGTTTCCGGTCAACTCCGGCGAGTTGGATAGAATCGTTTGCTCTCAAAGAAGAAGAGGAAGACGAAATCCAGCAACAAGATAATTTCAGTTTCACTCAACTGCTTTCCAATAACGCTGCTGCTGCTCCTTCAACTTCCGATTCTCATCCTTATTTGCCTGATTACTACCACTACTCTTCATCACATACTCCTTCTTCCTCAAATGCTTTGAATAATCCATTCATACAGGTAGTTATGGATGATCGTAAATTTAATCCTATTGTTAATTTCTTCTTTGTTAATTCAACTCTATTTTATAATTGTGACTGCGTCAGAGGCTGTGTTAGTGTTAAGAGTCTCGTATCAGACAATATATAACTGGTGGCAATACGGTTTTGTTGAGTTGAGTTAGGGCAAACCAAAACTAAGCTTGATTTTGATTCTTGAAATTATAACTTATAAGTGTCAGTAGATTTAGTTGTTTTTCTAAATTAAGAATCACAATTTAAAGTATTCTATGTTTGTCTTAATGCAGCAAAAAAAAGTATTCAAATATTCAAGACAAAATGAGACAGAAGGAGGATTGACTATACGAAAAGATAATCAAATAGTTACAGAAAGATGATATGAATTAAATTGTGTATATACTGATATGGAGTATTATAACATAAACATTATGAGGTTGTTTGATATGTATAAACAAACTACTACTTAGTAAGCAAAAAGTTTGGTTTTTCTTGTTATTCCTTATTGGGAAAATTTTCGATTAAAGTTGAATTAACGTGTTTATTATTATTTTTTTTTGGTGTTTAAGGGAGTTGAGGATAGTGATAATGCATTGGATCTTAAAATGGACAAAATTTTAGAGGATTCAGTTCCTTGCAAGATTCGAGCAAAGCGTGGCTGTGCTACACATCCAAGGAGTATTGCTGAAAGGGTAACTGTTAATACTAATTTGGGATTTGCTTAATCCAAATTGTGTGAATTCTTTCTGTTTTTTGGGATTCTTGTTATTGTGTAGGTTCGGAGGACTCGGATTAGTGACCGCATAAGAAAACTTCAAGAACTAGTGCCAAACATGGATAAGGTTTTGCTTTTCATCATCTTAAAACACTGTGACATGTTTGTTCTAAATGTTTTTTTGTCATTAAGAAATAATTTAGTTCAAGTTGTTATTAACCAATAATCATATTGCATTACTTGAAAAGATACTAATTTAATAGTTCAATTCATCTATGAGTTCAATCCATACATGTTATGAAAGATCCATTTATATTTGACATAAATTGTGAGTCTAGTTGGACAGACTTATTTGAACTTATATACTTACATGAGTGCTTGTGAGTCTGAATGACAGAACTTATAGAAACAACTTAAAACACGTCTATAATTTATATTCAACTTATTTTCATAAGTTCTATAAGATAGTTTATGAAAGCAACGATTATAACTTACATGAAAAGAAACTTCATTTGATTTTATCTTTTATCTTTTATCTTTTATTATAGAAATAGTTTATGCATAAACAAATATACGACATGCACTTATGCTATACGTGCTTTATTAAGTTGTTTATCCAAACATTTTAATTGGAAGAAGTTATGAAATGCCTCTAGTGCTTAGTTTCTCATTTCATTTTCGCAGGTAGATTAGTTTCTAACTGTTTAATGTGCCAATTTATTTTTTTCTTGTAGCAAACAAATACTGCAGAGATGTTAGATGAGGCTGTAGCTTATGTCAAGTTTCTACAAAATCAAATTGAGGTACACATTTCATGTGTGACTTAACTTATGCTTGTGATTCTAGATGTTGTGGTTTAATCTTTCATGAATTGGATTGATACATTACAGGAACTATCAGAACACCAACAGAGGTGTACATGCATGATTCATGAGTAAATTCGTGATCTTGTCGTATAGTACCTGGCTGTTTCCATATGCTCTTTTGAGTTATCAGATTTTTTGATGTTCTAATGAAGTTTAACCTTGCCTCAGAAGATTAAGACTGTGTCACATTCTTGTGCAACAAGTACATATTGGGGGTGCTATTATCAATTTCATGAGAAATCCACTTTAAATGTAGTTCTTTCTAGTGTATTATAATTGTATAGTTATAGTGTTTTATAATAACTTAAGCACAAATCTGCTAAACTTACTAGCTTATTGAGCTTCTTTTTGCTGAGATATATAATTAATCATATGTGAGATTCCTCACATGATCAAAAGATTCCTCACATGGTGACATTTTATTTGTATTATAAAGAAAATGCAACCACAAAAGAAACCATACTAGAAGCATTTTCATCTGTCTTCCAACTGACAACACAACCATGTTAATGCTCTGAGATATGTTCTGATTAAAGCATATCAGTTTTCACCCTCAACTTTTATGCCAAACAGGTCTCTATTGCGATTGAAACTGGTTGCGTGTTCAAAGTCAAATGTAAGCGGTTGTAGGAGTTAATGGTGGTAGTCTAATGAATTGGCTTAGATTATGCATATAGGAAACTGCGTCGTGCTTACAGACGTTGAGCGCAGAAGATGGATATGCAACACCTTCCACTTATGTTCAATTGTTTTTCAAAAAAATAGAAAGGATAATTGGCATAATAAATGTCTTCATATGTACTCAAAGTTAGGTATAGTTCGCGTGCTAAAGTTGGGATTGAGTTGGGCAATCCCTTCCCCTCAATTTACCTCTATGAGATGCGTTAAAGTTGGGCACATAATAGGGTGCATTTAAAAACACACATTTGATAGTATATTTAGGGGTTACTTTTTTCACCCTTAGAAATACTCCCCACTATCGTGAAAAGTCACATTTGCCTTTAGTGTCTTGAGATGTATTTTTGACTTATTTTTTTCACACACGTGTCAGCTGAAATTGCTAAAAAATTTATATTGTGTTAAAATTTAGTCCGAAGATATATCTCTATAACATTCATAGTTTAATATTTAGTGAGGTTTTCAGAGACTCGTCTGAAATATCTCCTGTTAGTTCAAACCAGAAACAACTAGAATATAATGGAAAAAACAACATAAATTAACTTCAAAATAAACATTATATTTTGATAATCATTAACGTTAATACAAATTTAACATTACATTTCATTACAAACAAGTGGTTCAGGATGTTGCAATCATAACATCCTTAGAATATATTTGGTCGATCTTGCAATTCTCGTATCCACTTTAATCAGACTCTTTGTTGAGTAACGAGAAAATATACTCCACGTAACCTTTAAATTCTTCTTTATCTTCAGTTCAAACATGGTATATCATATCTTCTCTTTGATGTTAATCGACGGTGAACGATACTCGAGCTTGACAACTCTTCGATTTTTTGAATATCGTAGAAGAGTATTAAGTTTGGTTTTCAGATTAATGAAAAGTATAATCTCGGAGATCCTAAATTGAAGTGGGAGATTTGTGTCATTGAAATACACAAAGTCAAGATGATAATATATATATTTATTCTGGTTTTTGTAAGAAAATGGAATGTGGAACCTCTATTTATATAAGTTATAAATCAAGTTGGACCATAGAAATATTATCCTTTCATCATGATATATTTTGGATATTCATATCAGGACACTTTTTTTTTCCAAAATAAAAGTGTATCTGAAGATGTGCATATGTAAAAGTCTTTGTTTGTTATTTTTTCAATTAAAATTAGGTGTGTCCGGATATGCATATCTGGATCCACCTAGAATATAATTGATACATAGCCACTAAAATAAACAGAAATAAAAAAATTAGGACATTGTCTAAAATTTACCCCTAAATTTTATAACACTAAAGTAGAATATACATTAGATATGTTGCAAATTGTATCGAAATTACATCATTGACAATAATACATACGGGAAAAAAATTAAAACTATGTGTCAAAATATGTGTCACTATCTAAATCTATTGGTGGTTTCTTCTTTGATCTTTTCTTATTTAATTCTCTTTCAATGTTGCTCAATTTGATGAACTTTTCCATCATTTTGATAAACTGATCCGACTAAGTTTCAGCATCTTGGGTTAAATGTGGCGTCCACTTCGGTGATGTCTTAGGTATAGGATATCTCGATTTTAGATAAACTTTACCAAAATGTTGAGTTTTAGAAAGTCACCTAATACACATAATGCTTCCGAATAGGTTTCAAGGTGATCTACTTCGAATTGGAAAAAAATTTCTGAAAAATTGTATCTTGCCTGATCAATACACGCTCTATCATAAGTATTTATTATAAGATATCTCATTTTGAAAAGCGCACTCATTTGTCAAATGGTGTTGGAACACTAAGACATGGAGCAAGAGCATTAAGAATTGCATCATAATTTTCTTTTTTCGTATAGATTTGTGTATCAGAGATTCATCTGAAATATCCACTGTTAGTTCAGACCATAAACAACCGGGAACAATGGCAATGTAATGGAAAAAATAACATAAATGAACTTTTAAATAAACATTATATTTTAATAATCATCAACGTTAATATAAATTTAACATTATATTTCATTACAAAGGAGTGACTCAGAATGTTGCGACATCCTTAGAATATCTTTGGTCGATCTTGCAATCATCAAATTCACTTCAATCAGACCCTTTGATAAGTAGCAATAAAATGTACTTCACGTAACCTTTAAATATTCATATATCTTCAGTTCAAATATGGTGAATCATATCTTCTCTTTGATGCTAATCAAGGGTGAACGAAATTCGAGTCTGACAAATTTTTTATTTTTAAATAACGTAGAAGAGTAATCAGTTTGGTTTTCAGATCAATGAGAAGTATGTTCTTGGAGATCCTAAATTGAAGTGGGAGATTTGTGTCATTGAAATTCACAAAGCCAAGATGGTGATATCTATTTATTCTAGTTTTTATAAAGAAAATGCAATGCGGAATCTCTATTTATACAAGTTTTAAATCAAGTTGGACCATAGAAATCTTATCATTTCATCAGGATATATTTCAGATATGCATATTCGAACACACCATTTTTTTCAAAATAAAAGTGTATCTAGAGATGTACATTTGTAAAAGTCCTTGTTTATTGATTTTTTGAATTAAAATTGGGTGTGTCTGGAGATGCATATCCGGATCCACCCAAAACATAATTGATACATAGCCAGTAAAATAAACCGAAATAAAAAAAATAGGGACATTGTCTAAAATTTACCCCCAAATTTTATAAAACTAAAGTGAAATAGACATGTCGCAAATTGTATCAAAATTACATTATTGACAATATTACATACAAAAAATTAAAACCATGTATCGAAGCATGTGTCACTAACTAAATCTAGTCGTGGTTCCTTCTTTGACCTTTTATTATTTGATTCTCTTATAATGTCACTCAATTTCATGAACTCTTTCATCCTTTCCAGAAAGTGATCCAACCATGTTTCAACATCTTGGATAAAATGTGTCGTTCACTCCGGTGGTATCTTTGGTATAGGACATCTCGGTTTCAGATAAACCTTAACAAAGTTTTGTGTTTTTGAAATCCACCTAATACACATGTTGCGTCCGGATGGAATTTTAGGTGACCTACTCTGAAGTGGAAAAATATTTCTAAGAAACCATATCTTGTTAGATAAATACACACCCTATCATAAGCATTTGCTATAAGATGTCTCATTTTTGAAAAATGCACCCATTTTTTAAATAGTGTCGGACCACTAAGATAAGGAACAGGAGCATTAAGAATTGCATCATAATTTTATTTTTTTCTGTATAGATTTGTGTATGATTTCCTATGCGTCGTCATTTCTTGTATAAGCTGAAGGCAGATAAGTTGGCAGTCCTTCTCTCCTTTACCGAGCAAACCTAAAACAGCTCAAAAACCACAGTTATCGTCACCTTCAACATCTACAATCCACTCAATATATTTGTGTGTAAAAAGCGATATTTCTTCAATGTGGATGAATTTTGGTAACGGAGATGGATGAGATGGTTTGCTAATGCGAGCATCCTTGAAAACACTTTTTTGAGATTTTAGAGTTGGAGAATTTAAAAAATATGAGTCAACATGTTTAAAGTATGAAGGAGGAAGTCTCGTAGAGTTGTCATTGTGTGTCAGTTTGACCTTTTTAGGGGAATTCTTTGTTTTAATCGGTTCCAACGGTGGTCTCAAATCCGTTGTTTCTAAATAGGAAATCTTCCTCAACTACTCTTTGATGTGCTATTTCATGATGTCACTCGATTTCAAAAATCTCTCTTAGATTACTTCCCATTTGATCATAATATTTATACTTAATTTATCACCCTTCATCATATCATCATCATCATCAAAATGGAGACTTTTCCAGTGAGTATAAACCTCATCCATACGCATCGATTTATCAATCATTGTCTTCTTTGAAATTAAACAAGCACATGGAAAAGCGTGCGTCTTCCTAAGTGTACAACCCCATTTGAGCTAATTGAACTTGTTTTATCTGCTCACTTGGCTTCATAAAAAATAAAATTCAATGTAGCTCAAGATATATTTCCAACCAACTATGAATAAATGATTGTCTTTGAATCAGGGTTTTTAGTAATGCTCCGACCAAAATATTATGTATCTCATTATGTTGGTTTTGGAGAATTTGGTTACAACATCCCAATCTCTACAAAAACCATATTTACAGTTTCCCAACTAATGCTTCAGCGAAACATGTGTAGATTCAACTCTATTAATTTTTATATTTCCAAAGTGTCTAACTTGATCAATTCAGGCACAAACAATCTTCTTTTATTAACCTGGTCCAAAATAGTGCCATTAACATATTTAAGGAAATCTAGATATCTCGCACACACCCTCCTAAAATATATTACAAATTCGGCATATAAATATTTCGAGGAATAATTTATTATAGCATTTCAAGTAGGGGTGTTCAAATCCAAATCAATCCAAATAAAAAA